AATGTTAATAATATAGGTTTAAATTTTTTTTGGTTTTTGTTTTTTTGGGGGTGGGAGGCCCATTGTATCATAAATAACCTATTTTTTTTTTTTTTTTTTTTTTTTTTTTTTTTTTAATAGGATTTTTTTTTTTTTTTAATTTTTTATGGTGGTATGTACCCGCCATAATTGTCTTAATTATGGCAAAGTTTGAACGAATTCTATGAGAGCGTTTTGGAAATATTTTGAAACAAAGTTTTAAGAATAATAAAAACGGTGAAATAGCATGCTATCCACACTAATAGCTAATATTTTAAGAACATGATAAGGTTTGGAAACGCGGCTTCATCTCCTAGTGGTTTGATTCCATTGAAAACTGTGTACAAAAAAAGGGGAATTGCTCTGGGCAATGGCGAGTTAGAAGAATTTTTCTATTAACCTGCATTCAGCCGCTTTTGTTACAGTTTTTGCACGTAATTTCGCATTATTCAAAAAACACTTAATAATCCCGAGATTAATTGAAAACATGGAAGGCTTTTAAATGGGGCCTCAAATATAACCAATTTTTTCCCCAGATTCTGTGTTTACACGTGAGCGTCCCTCATTATTCACTGGCATTGTTTTCAAGTTTCATATGCATGCACGTATGCAACAGGCAAAAAAATAGTTTGCATCAAAAAGGACCTTCGGTCACTATCGGTAGGCAATGGCCGAATTTATACTAGAGACGAGTTATCCGTCAAACGGATAATTCGTCGAAGTATAAATCCGAAGACGAATTTTGCTCTTAGCACCGACTTTATACTAGAGCCCTCACGAAACGGATAATCCGTCTAGACGGATAATTCGACTCTAGTATAAATTCCGCTAATACATGTCCAGTGGAAGGATGAGCTAATGTTATATTGATATTACTAGCATTATGTTTATCGCAAAACCTCGCGAAACTATAATTGGTAAGCAGTAAGCAAAAAGGGAAACAAACCAAGAGGAAAAATATGATTAATAACACAACAACAACAACAAAGTACAACAACAACAACAACAACAAATAAAAAAATACTTCGACGAGATGTCGAACCTGGTCCATCTGCAGGGAAGGTATGCTCCTAGATCACTGCTCCACGCTGCCAAGGGTATAGTTAAGTGGGAAAATTTTAAATTTAAAGTATTATTTCCGTGAAATTCTGCCGGTAAACGCTGTTTGAAGCTGGTGGAGCTGTAGTTATCATGAATTCAAAGGTATATTTGAGGAAACTTAGTTACAACTATTTTTTGTTGTTGTTGTTGTTGTTGTTTACTTTTAAACCTCCTTTCACTCGAAGTTATTTTTTGTTTGTTTCGTCCGAACAAGGTATTCATCGCACGACTTCTCCGACATCTCTTCGTCTCTGGATTTGTCAAAACACTCTCACTACGGTGTTTAACATAAGCAGAATCACACTCACAGTTTTCACATTTAGAGTTATTGTCACCGAGGTTCTCCTCAAGGTCACGCCTCAAATTCTAAGGAGGCAATGATGACAGAAATGGAATTTATCCATCTCCTACGGAGGTACTTTCTGACGCAATTTTATTTTGTTTATCACTTTGCACGGAGCACTCGCCAAAAAAAAGGAAAGAAAGAAAAAAGCGCGTGTCATTCGAGATGGCAAAAAAAATAGCACATTTGGCTATTTCGAACCAACCCCATTACTGGAAAGGGGATCCACTTACGGTCTCCTGCATCACGATTATGACTCCTGCATTCCTGCATGTATAAAATAGGGGAAGGTAAAATCGCTGTTGATAGTAATAGTAGGCTTTACCCCAGCTACCTTTACATTAGGTAAGCCAAGCAAAGACGCCTTTAAATGTTCCCTTACGGATTATTTTTTCCCACTCATTTTTTCTCCATATTACATGGCGAGCCGCAAGCCTTAGCGACCGAAATATGGGGGAAAATTTGTCCCCCATCTGACCAGAAGGCCATTGTTTAAATTCAGCCAAGCATAGACCGTTGACAGCTTGAAACCATACTTGAGCTGAAATGCGAATCTCTTTTCGTGGCCTCCTGTGAAGCTTTTTCCGACATATCTGTCAACCGCTCATTTTACCACACACTACACTAAAAAGCTGATGAGACGAACACAACTAAAAAATAGAACCTGATAGAATGAAAATCGCTCCAAAACAGCGCATCAGTTGGAAAACTTGTGGCGGTGTAGAGGAGTTTTGCAACAAACAGGGGATACCTCAGAATCAATATGCATTTAGTTACCGAAGATGAACGAAGTGCAGCGATTTAAATTTAATAGAATTTACATTAACTATAAATTCAAATAGTTTTTACAGTAGCTTTCTCTGGAGAGCAGAATTTAAATAGGAGACTTCACCGGCCTTTTCTCAAAAAAGGGAATAGTCCCGCTTTTAATTCTGCTCCCCCGAAATTTATATTTCTAAATCTAAGTAGCTTTCTTTTCCTTTTTAAAAAATTTTACGGGGGAATCGAAATGAATTTTGGTTGATTGGTTGCGTCCATCGCGGTTCCCCCTATTTGTTTTTTAACAAAATACCATTGCACAAACGGTCTCTATTATTTTTCACGAGCCATAACCAACCAAGTTCCCTTGCACTAAGCGAAGGCGACACACCCGATCGCTTGCTTTTTCAGGCGACTCACCCAGAAGAGCACGTGCAGACGGAACTTTGGTCGTTGTTTAGCTTTATTTTGAATCACTCAAAGAATAAGTTCAATTACGAATTCTAAGCGTTTAGTTGACTCAATACAATCTTAGCAAGTCCCAAACAAAAGAAAAATATATTTGGCAAACCGTTTTCCAAGACTATTTTACCTTATAAACTTTCCTAAGGCCTCGTTTTTTTACAGAAAGATTCATTTAATATACACGTTTTACAAAGTATTCTTGCACTAAGCGAAGGCGACTCACCCGATCGCTCGCTTTTAATCAGGCGACACACCCAACATAAAAGCACGTACAGAATACCCTGAACCATGTTCATGAATTTGTTTTCGGTGAATTATATCAAAGCTCTCTGCTCGTGAAAAATAATAGAGACCGTTTGCGCAGTCGTATTTTATTAAAAAAAAAAACAAACAAATAGGGGTGAACCGCGATGGACACAACCAATCAACCAAAACTCATTTCGATTCCTCCGCAAAAATTTTTAAAAGAAAAAGAAAGCTACTTAGATTTAGGGCCTGTGAAGTACCTTAGGTAGGTCGATAGGGGTATGGGTAACACGAGCGTCTGATATTTTTAACGCGTTTCATTTCATTTTTGATCAAAATAAAAAGCTTTTACGAGGTTTATACTTGCATGGAATAGCCCTTATTAATGGCTTTGTAGCACAATTTGCTACCAGTGGGAGTCATATCCGCCTATTCGATACTAGGAAAACGATTATTTCCATAGGCAGAGCTCCGTCCGGCTGTGTTGAGAACGCATGCAACAACGCAGTATTACGCGATAATTACTGGCCTTATTGTTGTGCAAAGAGTGTTTTAACTGTAAGATAATTTTCTCATTAATTGAAACAAAGATCTGAGCATGAAGTGACAACTATAAATCGCACTGGATCATGATGAAGCATTTAAACATCGGCAACAAGCAAAACAGTTGAAAAAAGGTCAGAGATATAGCAATTTGGCCACTACGTGTGTATGTATATTATAAAACACGGACGTCTATAATTTTCAACACATTCCTTTGTTTATCAAGAAAATGTCGCACGAAATTAATAGAGCTTTTCGACTTCTTTATTAGGGTACTTTTTGTACACAAAATTGCCTCCAGTGGAAGTTGTGCTGGGCCTGTTTCTTCCTAAACACGAGCTGTACGATCGGGAGCGCCACATTAAATTTGGCGGGCATTTAGGAGGTTTTGGCGCGGATATGTTCGAAGCAGAAATAAATAAATCGAACACTGTGCTTACCTTCAAGGAGTCTTACGATTAATCAAGTCATTATACAAACCAGAATTAATGTGTCGCAAGGTAAACCTACTGATCTAAGGCTGAATTGGCCTCGCATTTGAACCAATGTGAAGAAGGAAGGCTGGCCATCTCCGGTTTTCAGAAGAGAAGCTTGAATTCTCCTAACCTGTCCGATCTGTTTAAATGTTCTTGAAATACCAATCGCTTCTAAGGGAAGCGATTTTGATCGCGAATCAACACAGAAATTCTCGACCAGGAAACGGCAAAAAGTAACCCACATATACTCCATACAAGGTGGCTTGATCGGGCTGATCCGATCCGGAGAATAGTTGAAAAGACCGCGCTCGACTTTATTTACATGTATTTACCCCACCTTGTATTGTTTTAACCATATTAACAGACAGTTGCGAAATTTAGAATTGTTTCATCGCCTCTGTGAAGATCACTACCGATGACAGCTAATCTGACCCCTGCTAACATGCACGAGGTCGGAGGTAAAATTCTAACAGGAAATTGAGTATAGCAACCGTCACTCAAGATAATTAGAAAAGGGACTTTACGCGGCTCCTCATGTATTTTTTTTATACATGTAGATACATGTCTGTAATATCCACTTTCAACCTTGATTCTTTCCTTGGGTGTAGTTATTATTATTATTATTATTATTATTATTATTATTATCATTATCATTATCATTATCATCATCATTATTATTATTATTATTATTATTATTATTACAAGTGATAGCGGTAAAAGTAAATTATAGTTATTTTACACTATATAAAGCTTCGAGTTTAAACCACAAAATAATTTGATTAAAAAGGGTTATCTTTTTCTTTTTTCTTCTTTTTTACGACGAATTCACGATTCGAGGTTTTCCGTTATAGTGTGAAGTGATGCCATTTGCTTTTATTGAAATGAGTGGACTGATGACAATTGATAGCTCTTTTTTATGTACAAATCATTTCTCGTGACATACAAAATCAACTATTGCCGCTGATTCTTAAGTCGTGGCACAAGCCGATTTGTAAAATGGATTTACAAAGAGACAGGAATTGCTCTTACTGAAACAAAAAAAACTAGCTTAATAAGGAACAGCCTGCAAACCACTAAACTGAAATTTCTGTCATGTTAGGTCCCTTTCAAACGTAGAATTTCTTATGAGTGCCAAACACCTATTTTAGTCTAAGGAAATAATTAAAGAAGGCAGTTGATGCAGACGTCAGATATAATGGTGCCGAATTTAAATCCCTTTGTTTAAATATTCCCCAGTCCCTAGAAAAAAATGTTACCCAATATAGATACCGGGGTTTCTATAATTAATGCATTATATTCGGCACATGTGAAACGCGACTTCTAAATCAAATGTTGAACCTAAGTCGAATTTTACGACATTATGTTACTAGCTATACGCACCACACTGGTAAAAATGAGAGTAAAAAAGAAAAAGAAAAAAAAAATAATGTCACGAAAAATTTGCTTCCAGGTGATTCGAACCCAGACCCCCCTCGCTAGACC